GCCTGCCACAGGATTACCACTGTCGGTCTGGGACATTATTCAGGAAATGGACCGGTCGTCCTGCAGAGCTCATCTGGTCCCCGGGTCAAACGGCACCACTTAAAGGCTGAAAACACTTATAAAGCCTCATCCGGTTCTTTCAAACCAGGAACTCCGAGGGACGACTCAGACCACTTGAGTATATAAAAAATATATCCGTGCTGGTTTATTCAAAAAGTCACAGGCAAGAATTTACACTTCAAGTCCAGAGATCTTCCAACCCCCAGGCTGCCCGAGCAGCCCGGAAGCAGCAAGACCCCGAACCAAGCATTGCTATACAATATTAATCCTTTCTGGGCTGTCGAACCGTGACGTCACCTGATATGCCAGCTTGGCAGCTGAGCAGAGCAGTAGACAAAACATGAAGAAAATAATGTGTGTGGCTGTTGTTTTCGTGGTGTGTATCTAAAACAATCTGACATAACATTACACATTAAGACAAATATTATGGTTACTTTTACCGTCATAATAACATTCGTCCCTGACTGCCACCTTTCTCTGATTTTAACTAACCTTGCATTTAACAGCCTGAGGAAGACATCCTGGCTACACTAACAGTCCTAGACAACAAATCTCTGAATATCTATCTAACTAAAAAATAACCTAACACTTTTATTTTCTTGAAGAACTGGTTATTCTACAAGAAATAAAATCAGTCTTCTTTCAAAATTTGCATCTACAAAAACAGCTTTTTCAGATCAAACTGTGTATTTACAAGCCACATACAAAGGATGGTTGCTATATAAACTCACAGAGAGACTGCTGTGGTCATAAGTCGCAGTGACACTTGCTGCTTTTTACCAAGAGGGAAGGTGAATGTTGACTTACCCTGCGATGTTGTAACATGTCTTGACTCCTGTCATAGTTTTGGCTCCCTAGTTTTTCCAAAAACACACATGTTCTTATTTTTGTACTTGTCAATACTTGCCATGTAACTTCATCTACCTGGTGTTAACACTAAAACCAGTGTGAGAAAGGTCAGACAAGACAATTATGGGTTTATGCAATTAGATTACAGTCTAAAACCTGATATATTATTTGCTTCAGTTGAAAATGACTTATTTATTTTGATGGTGTTTTGAACACCTCAAAATTCAGTTGTAAAGAAAATTCCTATGCTTATTGTTGTAAACATACAACAGAAAGCCTTTTCCATCTTATTTCCTCCCTGCTGCCAGAGTCAGCATCCAGCGTGGAGGGTCAGAGTCCAGTGACGATAGTACATGCACACTCACATGTGCAAATAATACTAATGTAACATGTATTTGTTCCCTGGTTATTTTTTAAATCGAGCAATTGCAAAAATGGTATTCGTCTTGTAAATAATATGTACAGGCATCTCACAAGTAAAATCACTGATCATAAATTTGACCCTTGTGGATTTTATTTGAAGAGAGAACTGTGTTTTGTCAGAGAACAACTTCAACATAACTACATCAGTCATGTATTTGTACTTTTTAACTGTAACTCCTTAGAAATCAGTCTGTCCTTAACTGGAAAAACAAACTTTAAAAAAAAAATCAAATGGACTAGATTTCTAGGTCAAAGACGTTTCACCTCTCATTCAAGAGGCTTCATCAGTTCTGACTGACTGGTGTTGAGCCGGAGATATTTATCCCCATTGGTGTTTCAGTCCTTTGAAGGCCAACAAGGACTGAGAGGTGAAACGTCTTCGACCTAGAAATCTAGTCCATTTGATTTTTTTAAAAGTTTTTTTCCAGCTTACTATGACCTGGATGACTGAGAATCTCCACAGATCTGTCCTTAATGTAACTGCCACATTTTAAAGTGCCACTCTCACTGACTCACAAATTCTCCATGTGACTTTACAAATTCAAATCTGACCACACACTTTCATGCACCAGCCTGATTGTACCTGCAGTGTTCACACTGCATTATCAGTCAAAACAGTCTGCCCCATTCAAACTCTATGACACAGGCCACTGACGAGAGGGAGGGGTTTTCTGACGCACACAGGCTTCTTTGAACAAGATGCATCTTGTTTGACTCACCGTTGTGGCAGAGATTCAGTGTTGTTGTGATGTAGATAAGACTATTGCTGCTGGTCTGATAAGCAGATTAGTATCTGAGGAGATGACAAGATCACGTGGTCACTGCTCATGTTCTCAGGCTGATTGGTTTCACTTTGTTGTCCCCTCCTGGTTTTGGTTATGAAGAGATGTCTGTGGAGATGAAGAAGATAACTGTCAACCTCTAGAAACTAGGGAGCCAAAACTCTGACAGGAGTCAAGACATGTTACAACATGGCAGGTGAAGTCAACATACAACTTACCTCTTGGGAAAAAGCAGCAAGTGTCACTGCGACTTATGACCACAGCAGTCTCTGTGTTTATTTAGCAACCATACTTTGTATGTGGCTTGTAAATACACAGTTTGATCTGAAAAAGCTGTTTTTGTAGATGCAAATTTTGAAAGAAGACTGATTTTATTTCTTGTAGAATAACCAGTTCTTCAAGAAAATAAAAGTGTTAGTTTATTTTTTAGTTAGATAGATATTCAGAGATTTGTTGTCTAGGACTGTTAGTGTAGCCAGGATGTCTTCCTCAGGCTGTTAAATGCAAGGTTAGTTAAAATCAGAGAAAGGTGGCAGTCAGGGACGAATGTTATTATGACGGTAAAAGTAACCATAATATTTGTCTTAATGTGTAATGTTATGTCAAATTGTTTTAGATACACACCACGAAAACAACAGCCACACACATTATTTTCTTCATGTTTGGTCTACTGCTCTGCTCAGCTGCCAAGCTGGCATATCAGGTGACGTCACGGTTCGACAGCCCAGAAAGAATTAATATTGTATAGCAATGCTTGGTTCGGGGTCTTGCTGCTTCCGGGCTGCTCGGGCAGGCTGGGGGTTGGAAGATCTCTGGACTTGAAGTGTGAATTCTTGCCTGTGACTTTTTGAATAAACCAGCACGGTTATATTTTTTATATACTCAAGTGGTCTGAGTCGTCCCTCTGAGTTCCTGGTTTGAAAGAACCGGATGAGGCTTTATAATGGTTTTCAGCCTTTAAAAGCTATTTTTGTTGTTTTATGGAGTGGCCAGCCCAATCCCCGGACCTTAATCCAATCGAGAACTTGTGGGGTGATATCAAAAATGCTGTTTCTGAAGCAAAACCAAGAAATGTAAATGAATTGTGGAATGTTGTTAAAGAATCATGGAGTGGAATAACAGCTGAAAGGTGCCACAAGTTGGTTGACTCCATGCCACACAGATGTGAAGCAGTTATAAAAAACTGTGGTCATACAACTAAATATTAGTTTAGTGATTCACAGGATTGCTAAATCCTAGAAACAAAAACATTTGTACAACATAGTTTTGTGTTTGTACAGTCAACGGCAGACACTGCCATTTTTTTTTAACACACCCCTTTCAACTAATTGCCCAATTGCACAGCCTTAAGAGCGTGCATATCATGAATGCTGGGTCTTGTTTGCTTTCTGAGAATCTACTGCACCTACTGGTAACTTGCTTGCCATCTGACTAAGAAATTACCTAACAAAAACCTTGCACATTGAGCGCAGGGGCAGAGTGCGCATGTCGTGGCAAGAGTGAGATCCCAACTAAATTAATTCAGACAAACCATTACAATTTAAAGAATCATTTAATATTACAGTTATTCTGAATAGAGTAGTATTCAAACACATAATATTGTAGTTAGGGAACAGAGAACAGAGATCAGAGAACAGAGACTCTCCTCTTGCAATGGAATAGATAAAGCCTAAAGATTGTCAGAGCACCA